TATATCCACAAACAAACAAACTGCCAGCCAATCAAATCATGTGCTTTAACTACCGTAAATGGTAACATTAAATTACATAAAATGAATGTGTTAAAATGAATGAATATGTGTTATTTATTATGTTTAATTTCGTGTTTAATAGTTCACTTTTTATTTAGCTATTTATTTATGATGTGATGCAAATTGTTTAGAAATTAACAAATATATAAATGGTAAATTATGTAATTACTTATCGATATTAAAACGTGAGATACTAGACTAACATCCACTAGTGGTTGCTGTGTTTGTTGCAGGAAGAAGGAAGCTATGTTGTTTTTTATCATATATATTTATTGCCTTTAGTTTAATGATGGTTTATCTATAAGCGTAGCTTCCTTTAAAACAGCAATGCATTGTTTAGTTTAGTGTTCAGGATCTATGGGTGATAATGGTTGTTATGAAGACTCTGATATGAGTTTATCTTTAGACTTAGACTTATTCTCATTTTGTACACAGACTGCATACAAAACAAAAATTTTCTTCAGTACAGCTCTCAAGACATTTTCATTTTTTAAAGTGCAGACGTGATAAAGGTAAGCACTTTAGTAGAATTTATCAGTGCTAAAGTGTTTTTCCACAGGCTCGATCATACAGTCGATCGTACAGCTGCATCTGATCCAGAATGCTGCTGCCTGTGTCCTCATTAAAACTAAGAGTGGAGCACATCACCTTGTATCTAAAGTCTATCTCAGAGAACAGAGTTTTTGGGGAGTGGCGGCTTAGTGGTTAGGGCATTGCGCTTTGAATCCTGAGGTTCTTAGTTCAAGCCCCTCTAAGTCCCTAAGGAAGACCCTTAACCCCACACTGTTCACCGGGCGCCGAAAAATGGCAGCCCACTGCTCCCCAAGGGGATGGGTTAAATGCAGAGACTGAATTTCATTACTCTGTACTTGTGACAGTGTAAAGACAATAAAACACTGGAAAAAAAAAAAAACAGAACCAAACATGAAGGAGCTGCTTTTAGTTCTTATGAACCACTAATCTGTAATCAACTCCCAGAAAACTAAAAATGCTGAATCCCTAAATTGCTTTAAATCCAGAACATAAACATGTTTGTTTAGAGTAACCTATGGCTGTGCTATCTAAACACTATTAGTTAAAGTTTGCATTCTAACTTTCTTTCAATTTATTATCAATCATGTTGTTATTCATCTTTTGTAATCATGTTATCACTAATTATTCATTCTTGTTAATTATGCAATTACCTTGATGCGACGGCAATGTTCTCTGTGTTTTTCTAAATTAGGTTTATTTTTCATGCACAGCACTTTAAACTGTTTTGCTACTGAAATGTGTTAATCAAATAAACTTACATTACATAAAAATATGATTTATTTTCTATTTTTATAATTTTCTGTTATTTTAAGTTATTTCTTTGACTATTAAACACTATTCTTATTCATCATTTAGAGCAGAGCTTTCCAAAATTTTTAAACTTAAACTGTTTTATGTTTTGTTTTTTTTATTATTATTATGAAAATTTGAATAGTCTTTCAGTCTTGTATAGGTTCTGTTATTAGTTCTAAAGGTTGAATTCTATAAGCCTTGCTCCGAACTTCCTCCAGCGAAATAGCCATTGGCCTGTAGACAAGACACTGATTTATTTCAAAAGTAAAGTTGTTTTATGTCTCATGCTGGTAAAAAAAAAAAAAATGGGGATCAATAAATTGAGAAATTTTATCTTCTGTGATCCAGACTAAATCTAATAATCCAAAAGGTATTTTATTAACCATATATTACAGTGTGTCAAACACACATACCTGGACAGGAAGCTGGACTGTTGATGTCTCCAGCGAGGTAGAGTCTGATTGTAGGCTGGCTGCTCACATTTAGCTTCTTTGCCAATTCTTTTTCTTTTGTCACATCGATGACTGCTAGTTTGACCTCTGACCCCTGTAGCTCTGCACCAGCGGCTTCGAATGCGGCTGCCACACGTTGGCCTTCTGATGTCAGCGGAGTATCTGTGAGACACAGAAAGAGAGCGAAGGTTAGGAGTGGTTCTCTGAAGTTGTATTTTACAGAAATAAACTGCAGGTTAAATCCATTTCTGTGTGTTTGTGTGTGACTTACAGAAATGCACCAAAAGCTGCTTGTGTTTTCTCAGAACCATTTTGAAGTTTCCCTTGTGGAGCTGCAAAATTCCTTCATTCTCTGGAAATGTTTTGTCTTCCTGTGTGTCAGATTGTGTGTCCGCTGCAGCAAACACAAACAGAGAGAGGACCATCGCTCCCAGCAGTGGAAACACCAGCTTCTTCATGATGGATCATTCACACTTTAACAAAGTAGATGCAGGGTTTACTTTGCAAGACGGTGAGACAGTGGAGGGTGTGTTTATTATCTGTTATCAGACCAACCAATCCGTTGGTGATTAACTTCCCTATCTGCCTGCTGTAATTCTGCTATTGGCTGCTCCAGGCCTCATATCAGTTCACTAATATAAACACCTCCTTTACCTGACAGACTGAACTAGGTCAAAATGGAGTCAACTATCTTATAAATTGTAGGATGGATGAAAATAAAATAAAAAAAATAGGGAAAACACAGAATGGTTTGTTTGTTATCTCTGGAAGAATAGAATTAATAATTCCATTTAAGGGTCAAAGTAGTTTTAAGTTATTGTCTTTAGTCAGAATTAGGCAAATTTAAACTGAAACTCCTGTTTGAAAAAAGTTAATAATAAGAAGTTATAAAAAGTTATAATAATAAGTTAATAATAATAATTTGCAATATAATTATTTCTATGATTTAAATCATAAATCATGTATATATATCTGAGACAGTATCACTGTAATTAAATATTTATCCACAAGAGGGCAGCACTAGTCTAAAACAGATTGTTTCAAGAGCTGTCAGAGAACTGAAGAGATACTGATGTCTTTGTAAACTGCTGTACATGTGAATGTGTAGACATGTCTAAGAACAGGACTACTCTGGTTGCTTTCTAATGCATTTTAACAGATGTTTTAGAAGGCCAGATTCAAATGGTTGATTGTGGAATATTGTTGCTTCAGTTTTGTTTTGTTTTTTATTTTCTTCACATTCTTTAGAGTTGCAGGCTGAGCTTCATCGTTTTAAATTAATTTAAAGAAAATGTGGATAGTGAGGGGATCTTCTTTGAAATGTAGAAATGCAAGGACAAAAACTGTCATTGCAGTTTAGTGCAATGTGTCCATTCATTCATTAATTAATTTATGGTGTTTTGCAAAATTGTACATTTTCATAATTATCTCCCATATTTTTTACATCACA